TGGGGTCACGAAGACACATCTCCCTGAGTTCAAATCTGGCCTCAGACACTTACAGGCTCCTGAGCAAGTCACTTAGCCCTGTTTGCCTCAGTTTCCTCCTCTGTAAAATGAGCTGGAGAAGGAAATGGCAAACCACTCCAGTTATTTTGCCTGGAAGACCTCAAATGGGCTCATGAAGAGTCAGACATGATTGAAAATGACTGAACAACAACAATAATCTAGTTAGGTATATAAGACAGACACACATACACACACACACACACACCTGAAACAATTAGAAAATGAGAGACTGTCCTATGTATATAAACAACTTTAGATATCAGTAAGATGAAATGTTAAATTGATGAGTGAAGGCAACTGAAGAATAAATAATAGACATCTGTGAGTCAATAAACATTTATTAAGTGCCTACTATGTGCCAGGCACTATGCTAAGTACTGGATAAGATGACATAATAATAGAAGAGGCAGCAGGGGGTAGTAAATAGAGTGATAGCACTTACCAAATCATTTCAACCCCCTGAGCCTGAGTTTATTTAGGGATAATAATGCTTGCAAATATCTGCTTCTGAGGGTTGTTGTGAGGCCCAAAGGAACTTGTATATAGAAATCCTCTTGCAAACCTTGGAAGGCTCTCCAAATATCAGCTTATTAATAAGGGGCTAATTGTCTTAAGTTCTTGGGAGTCCAGAGGAGAAGATTGGTCAGGAAAGGCCTCCTGGAGGAGGCACGGCTTGGTTGGGACTTGAAGGATGGCTAGGATTTTCATCAGTAGGGAAAATGACATGAATTGAGTGCCTGAGGTTGGGATGAGCCACCTAGGGGACTTTAGTGGGGAGTGGGATGAGGAAGAAAAAATTATAGACTCATTCAGTTTGGGTGTTGGAAGAAACCTTACTGATCACTTAGTCCAAAGCTCTCATTCTACAGGTGAGGAAACTGAGGCTCAGATTGATTAAGTTATTTGCCAGAGTTTTCCATTAGGCTAGTGAGTAGGAAAGCCAATTTTCTACACTGTGGCTAATGTGGTATGTGTCAGTAAGTGAATAGTAGAATGGGAAGGACCTGAGTGTGAGTGTGGGGAGATGTGGGAAATAAGGGTTGAAGAGGTTTGTGATGGCCAGATGAAGGAGAGCTGGCCAGTCCCAGGGAACCATGCCTACCCCTTTAACTGGGCAGGGTCTTCCTTCAAGATCAGAGCAAGATACATACCCTCTTAGGGAGGGTAGGAGGGAGAAAATTTAGAACTCAAAATTTAAAAAAATGAATGTTAAAAATTATCTATACTTGTAATTGGAAAAAAATAAAAGACTATTTTTTAAAAAATCAAAGTAAGAAGTATAAAGATTAGGCATAAGAAAGAGCTTCCAAATCTAAGGATCTGAAAATAGAAGAATGGCTTGGGAGTGACCTGGGTATTAAATCTCTTGAGGATGGGACTGTTTCTTCTGCCCCATTAGGGTCACACATTAGGCAGACAGTAAGTGCTTAAGACTTGCTGGTTGAATCTGTAGTAGGTCAGGGAGCTATTCCTTTCTCTTGTCCCTGATGGGAGTGGGCCATAACATTTGAGAGTAGCACTGGTAGAGTGGAAGGTTCCCTGGATTTGGAATCAGAGAATGTGGGTGACAGTTGTAGTTCCACCACTTATTTGCCTGACCTTGGACACACAGTGACTTGGACAAGTCATGTAACATCTTTGGGCCTCAGTTTTTTATCTGTAAAATGAGAGGCTTGGACTAGATGTCCTCTAAGGTCCCTTCCACCCCGAAATCTTTGATCCTTTGATTTAGAGTTGGAAAAGGCCTTAAAGGTTCTTAAGTCTGTCCCTCATATCTTATGTGAAGGTCCGAAGAGGTTTGATGACGTGTCCAAGGTCACAAAGGTCAAGTCAAACCAACAGGCACCTACTATTAAGCACCTACTGTGTGATAGGCACTGTGCTAAGTGCTGGGGATACTAAGAAAGGCAAAAAAAAAAAATGGTTCCCACTCTCAAAGAGCTCACAGCCTAATGGGCAAACAGCATGAAAACAACTATGTACAAACCAACCATATACACGATAATTGGAGGTGACCTCTAAGGAAAGGAAGGCACAGAGATTAAGGAGGATTAGGAAAGGTTTCTTGTAGAAGGTAAGACTTTATTTGAGATTTAAGAAAGCCAGGAGTCAGCAATGAGGAGGGAGAGAGGGGCAGCCCTCAGTGAAGACGCCCAGAGTTAGGAGACGTGATGTGCTGTTCAAGGAACACCAAGGAAATCAGTGTCACTGGATCACAGCATCTATGGAGGGGAGTCAATTGTAAAAAGGTTGGAAAGGGGATGGGGACGGGGGTGGGCTAGGTTTTGAAGGATTTTAAAAACCCAGGAGAATTGTGTATTTGGTCCTGGAAGTGATAGGGAGCTACTGGAGTTTATTGAATGGGTAGTAAGACATAGAGGCTAGAGTACAATCCTCTTTCTCCAAACCTAGTGTTCTTTCCACTATCCTAACTTGCTCTTAATATGTGTCTCTGAGATCACTCTGTCTTTGAGTGGAGAGACAAAAGGAGGAGAACCAATACTTGGTCTCTGCCCTGAGGAACTTACAGTCTTATAATCTACATAGGGCCCTCTCCTTCTCCCCCTCCCCCTCTCCCTCTTTTCTTTCTCTCACACACACACCCACCCCTCTTCCACAACCCATACTGCACAAGCAAAGTCATCTTCTGAAAGTCCAAAGATAAAGACAACGATCATAGTAATTTCTCAGTTCTGTGTTGTTTTCAAAGCACTTTCTTCACAAAAACCCTGAGAGTTGGGGAATGCAAGGATTTTAATACCCGTTTTTTAGATGAAGAAACTGAAGCCCAAGTGATTTGCCCCAGGTCAGACCTCTGACAGATACCAGATAGAGGCTTCAGACCCAGGTGCTCCTCACTATAGCTTTAATGGTATTTCCTCTGCACCATGTTGCCTTTTCCTCTCAGGAACCTGCCCTGGTCACACCCCTCTAACCCCCATTTGCCAGTTCTTCAGCCTGGCCTTACTTTGGTCCAGTCGTCCTTCTCTGGACTTATTTTTCACTGTTCCTCCTCACATACCTTCAGTCTAAGCAAGCTGGGTGGCTGACTGTCTCTGAAATACCACCTGCCCTCTGAACTTTCTTCTTGCCTTGGATGCCCTTTTTGTTTTTAAATCTTTTAAGGCTACCTCCTCTAGGAATCCTTCTCTGATTCCTTGAAACTGGATTTTCTTTCTCCCTTCTGAGTTCCCATAGCCTTTTTTCTGCCCCTTTAGGGCTCCGACTGCTTTGTTTCTAGGTATATGGGCCTGTGCCTGACTCCCCTTACTGACTGCCCTTACTAGACTGGGAGTTCCTGAGGGCAGAGACTGTGTCATATCCATCTTTATCTTTCCCAAATCACCCAGCACAGGTCCCTGCAATCAATCAATCAATCAATTTATCACTTGGTATTTATTAAGTGCCTACTATGTGCCAGACATAGCTCTGAGGATAGAAAACAAACAAACAAACCAGAGCAGTCCCTTGCCTTGAGGCTTGCATTCTATTAGGAGAGACATAGACAAAGTGGATAGAAGGTGATTTTGAGGGGGAAGCACCAGCAATTAGGGGAACCAGGAAAAGTCTTTTGCTGAGCTTTGAAGGAAGCCAGGTGAGGAGTGAGTACATTCCAGGTACAAAGGACAGTCTGTGCAAAGACTTGGAGACAAGAGATGAGAGGAAGAGCAAAAAGGCATTTGATTGGATTGTGAATGCTTGAAGGTGGGGAGTAATGTATGATCATCCTGGAAAGCAAGGTTGGAGCCAGGTTGTGAAGGGTTATAAATGCCAAAGAGAGGAGTTTGCATTTAACCTTAGAGGAAATAGGGAGCCACTGGAATTTATTGAGTAGGGTCAGACGATGCTTTTGGAAAATCCCTTTGGCCGAAGCTCGGAAGGTTAAGGCTACACTGGCCTGCTTGCTCTTAGCTCCATCTTCTAGCTCTGTGCCTTAGTACTGGGGGGCTCCCGTGGCTGAATTTCTCTCCTCACCTTCAAAGTGAGGCTTCCTCCTGATCTATGTCCATGTCGTCCTGATCTATATCTCGCCACTGGACCCAGATGCCTCCACAGGAGAAAGTGAAGCTGGTGACTTTGCACAGCCCTGCTTCATTTAAATCCAATTTGCTTGCCTGTCATGGCGTCACCTTCCTGATGTCAATAGTCCTCTTCGAGAATGACAGACAGACAACAACAACAATCCTTTCTCCACTGAGATTACCTCTATATACTCTCTGTATGTCTTGCACATACCTGGATATTTACACGTCGTCTCCCCCACTTACATGTAAGCTCCTTCAGAGTAGCAATTTTTCCCCTATTTTTTTTGTATTCCCAGGGCTTGCTACCCTGCCTGACATATAAGAAGTACTTTATAAATGCTTGTTGACTGACTGGGTTGGAGAGAGTTGAGACGAGGCAGGGAGACCAATCAGGAGGTGATTTTAATAGCCCAGGCAAAAGGTAACTACACTAGGCTAGCAGCCAGATGAGTAGGGAGAAGAGGGTGTTTACAAGAGATGTGGAGGTAATTTTACAGATGTTGCAGAGAGAGGCAAAGAGACTGGTCCAAGGTCACACAGGTATTAGGTGGCAGAGGGAATGATAACTCAGGCTCTCTGATTCCCCCCCCCCCCCCCCATATCACAGCTGCCTCCCCAGGCTTCATCATCAGTGCCACGGTAACCCAGCGGGTCACTCCAACTAAGCAGCCAGTACTCAACAAACAAGTTTCCCTCTTGTCAAAGAATTGACCTTGTGGGGGTGGTTGATGCCATATTTAGGAGGCAAGAAAGGGCAGCACGGCTTATCTCACTCCTCTGGGGCATGGGGAAAGTGCTACATTATTTCCCCCTGTTTCTAGCTCTTCATTTTTCTCTCCTTGTACTTCCATCTTTTATTCTTTCTTGCTGTACGTTTGTTTCAGTCTCCATCTTCCTGCCTCCTTTCTCTCACAGAATCTCAGAGTTGGAAGGGACCTTGGCGAGCATCCTGTCCAAGCCGTACTTGACCAAGAATCCTCTACGATGTCCCTGAGAAGTCACCCAAGCTTTGCTTGAAGACCTCTAATGAGGGAAGAGCCCTCTGCCTCTGAGGGAAGCCTGTCCCACTCTGGGAGGCTCTAATTGTTAGGAAGCTCTTCTTTCTCATAACTTTTGCCCATTGCTGCTTGTTCTGTCCTCTGGGTCCAAGCAGAACAAATTTAATCCTCCATGGCAGCTTTTCAAGTTCTTGAAAACAGCTCTCCGGCTTCCTTGTAAGTCTTTTTTTTTTTTTTCCTCTAAGCTTAACATCCAGTTCTTTCAACTGATGATCCTCATGGTATAATCTTATGATCCCATGACCATCTGGGTCGCCCTCCTTTGAATGCTATCCAGCTTATCAGTATCCCTCCTAAAAAGTGGCCCCTAGCACTGAACCCAGTACTCCAGATGTGGTCTGTCTAGGGCAGAAGATAGCAGGACTCTGACCTTGTTATTCCTGGAATTTGGGCCCAAGATCATATTGGCCTGGTGGCTGCCATGTTATATTATTGGCTCTTGGTCATTGTTTATTTCTTTCTTCATCTCCACTTCTTCATTTCACTGACTCTAAATATTTTTCTCCGTCTTTCTACCTCTATCTGTTTCTTTCTCCTTTCTATTACTGTCCCTCCCTTCCCCCTTTCCCCTTCTCTCTCTCTCTCCCTCTCCTCTCTCCCTCTCCTTCCCCTCCTCTCCCTCCCCTTCTCTCCCTCCCCTCCTCTCTCTCTCCCCCTCTCCCTCCTGTCCTCCCTCTCCCTCCCATCCTCCCTCTCCCTCCTCCTCCTCTCTCTCCCTCCCTCTACTCTCTCTCTCTCTCCCTCCCCCTCCCCTCTCTCTTTTTCTGTCACTGTCTATCTCTCCCTCTCCTCTCTCTCCCTCATCTGGGTCAGGGCCAGTGTGTAGGTGACCTTCCTTCATGAATACCTAATCCCATCTTCAAAACTTAGGGGCTCTTCCTCAGGTCCTAGTGGCCCTGGGCTTTTTTCTGCTGTCAGTCGTCACCTCTTGGACAAAGGAGGAAAGAGCTGGAGGATGAAGCCATCTCAGATTGAGTCTGAGCCAGGACATCCCAAGTCCTATCCTGAGGGCTACTGACCCGATGAGGGGAGTCATAATACACCTAATAGAAACTGAGTCAGAGGTTCCCAAGAACCTTAGAGCCAGAGAGGGCCTTACAGACTAGAGAAATTGTACAGAATTTCAGTGTTGAGGTTGCTCAGGGAAGCCTTGGTAGAAGAGATAAGATTTATGAGATCATAGGCTTTAGACGTTAAAAAGCACCTTAGTAATCATCTAGTTCAAAGCTTTCATTTTACAGCTGCGGGAAGTAAAGCCTATAGAGAGGGACTTACTTGACCCTAGTCACTCAGTGGGTCGGTGTCAGAGCCAGGTTTCTAACCCGGGTTTTCTGACTCACAGGCAAGGCTCTTTCCACTGCACCAGAGGAGGGAGGAGTGAGAAGTGAAGGCTTCCTCAGGTAGGGTGCTGAGACAGCATCCCTGAATGTTTGAGCCAGAAAGGATGCTCTTGATCATTGAGATGAGGAACCCAAAGCCCAGAGAGGGATGGTAATTTGCTCAAAGTTATGCAGTTAGCAAGTGCCAGGGCCAGGACTCAAACCCAGATCTCCTCACTTCCAGTCCAAGGCCGTCTCCATTCCAGCCCGCTGTCTCTCCCTTGGAATAAGTTAGCACAGAGGGGAGCCAGTAAGTCTCCTTTCCTGGAGATCTGTATGAAAAAGGAGTTATCTGATAACGGCTGGAAGGTTATGTGGCTTAGGGAAAGTCATGGGAGGTTGAAAGTGACCTTGCAGGCTGCCTCTGGGCCTTAGCATCAAGGGATCTTTTCAGTTCTTGAGCCTCATATCCCAGCCTCATTTTTCTGAGAGAAGAGCCATGTGGGGACCCTTGATTTCTTTTCTCAGTTTGACCTATCTGAGTGTTTGAGGCATTTTCCAATTAATCGGACTGCTGTAGAGCTTCTGGGCTGGCTGGTTGCCTGGCTGTCATGAACTCTGCTCATTATTAATTTGTAACTCTTTCTCTGTCTGTCTTTGACCTCATCTTTGGGGTGGGGGAGGGAGGCAGGGTCCTATCTCCCCCGCAGACCAGTATCTCCCTGAAGACAAGAACCGTGTCTCCCCAATTAGGGACTTCCTGAAGGCAGGGGCTGTGCCCCCTCCCTGCCCCCCTCAGCCAGCGGCTCCTGGAGGACAGGGGCCATGCCTCTGGTCTTCTTTCTCCTCCTTTTGTCAGGACAGATCTCTCTGGCCATGTTGCTCTGGTTAGGGGTTACTGGACTTAAACACTTTCAAGATGAAAACAGTTGGACTCTGTTATTTCTGCTCCCTCCCCAGAAAGCTCTGCCTTGGGGTCATCTCCCAGGGAACAGCTGCCTCCTCTCCTCCTGGGTTTTCCTTACCCTCTGTCCTATTCCAGAGAAACTTTTTGTTCTTTTCCAGAGAACATTGGGTGCCAGACAGATGGCCTCGTGTGACTGGGTTCGAGGAGGGGGACTGGATCTCCCGAATCCCAGAGTTCCCACTGAGCCAGGGCCATGGCACTAGGGTAGCCAGGAGCCCATCATCAGGGTGTTCAGATGTCAGAATTACAGAATGTCTCATGGCAGTGATCTTAGAGATTATTTATCTGGCTCAGTTCTTCATCATTCAGTGGAAGAAACTGAAGCCTAGGGAGAAACGATGTGACTTGTTTAAGGCCACCCAAGCAGTGGAAGGAGGGAGATTTGATACCAGATGGTCTGCCTCCAAATCCGGCTGCCTTTTGAACATACCACATCGCTTGCCCTTTGTAAGTGACCTGAACCTAGGGCAGAATCCCCAAATCTAAATTCAGTGTTCTCTCTCTGTGTTACACCATTCTTCCTCTTCCCCTCCAACGAGTTTGCCATGGCTCCAGAGACTCATTTACACAAAGATTGCATCTTGGACTTCATTCTCAAGGTTACGTAATTAAACAGAATGATTTCGCTTAAGGGGAAGAAAGGGAGAGAGGTTAGTGTTAGGTCTTGTTTGGAGAAAAGGGTGTGATCTGGGAAGACAAAGAACAAGAGTCCTAGCTTCTAGTGACAGATTATTGGACGTTTTTTTTTGTGTGTGTGTATACACACACATGTATATGTACATACATGTATGTGTGTAGACATACTGTGTGTGTATATATACACATGGATATACACACACAAATACATATATAAGCATATACCTATGCATGCACATACACATACATATACTACATGTATATATACAATATACATGTATATATGCACACTTAAGGTATGCAATATAATTTACATATATGTATACATATGTGTATATACATGTATGTGTATGCACACACATGTAGAGAAAGAGAGAGAGAGCATTTCTTTCAATGATGAATTAAAAAATCCGCTATTTTGAAGAGGGGTCCATAGGCTTTGCTAGGTTGCCACAGAGAATATTAAGAACCCTGGGGCTAAATGAAAAATGAAATACGTTGTGTATGTATGCATGCATACATACACATACACATATCCCATACCCTGAATTTCTTGTGTCCTGTTTAACCGTCACTAAGCTGCTTCCTTAGTTTCATGTCTGTCCTTTTGGGTGGTATAAAACATTTCAGCTTTCTTCTAGCCCCAAAGTTCTTAATATTCTTTGCGGCTGTCTACTGAAGCCTGTGGACCACTCCTCCTAATCGTGGTTTTTTTTTAATTCATCATTGAAAGAAATACTAAATTTTATTTAGAGTTTAGTGAAAATAATGATGTAATTTTTTTTCCCATTTAAGTTCATGGACCCTCTGAAATCTCTCTGTAGACTCTAGGTTAAGAATCCTAGAGTGCTGAGTGTAGAGTCAGGATGAACTCACGTCAAATCTAGTCTCAGATATTTGTCAGCTGTATGACCCTGGGCAAGACACTCCATCTGCCTGCCTCAGTTATCTCAACTGTAAAATAATAGCACTTACCTCCCAGAGTTGTTGTGATTCTCAAATGAGATAATATTTGTAAAGAGCTTAATACAGTGCCTGGCACATAGTAGGCATTTAATAGTTGTTTGTTTCCTTCCTTCTTATGAGGAAATGGTGATCACTAAGAGCCATCATGGGTTCATCAAGAAGACATTAGAAGGCTCACTTAATTTCTGTTTTTTTTTGTTTTTTCTTCTGTTTTTTCTTTTTCTGCCATGTTTGCCAGACTGCTAGATATCTGCATTTCAGTTCCCTCATGTTATTCCTGTGGATCAGATATAGGCTAGATGATAATATAGTTAAGAGGGTTCAGGAACTGGATGAATGACCAGACACAAAAAATGGTATTTGTGGAGCCATGTCAACCTGGAGAAGGAAGGTGGCAGCCATAAGGCTTCATTTTTGGCCTTATATTCTTCCATTTTTATCAGTGACTTGGATGAAGGTGTAGATGGCGTAATGACCAAATTTATAGATTACACCAAGGTGGGGGGGATAACTAACATGATAAATGAGGGTAAAGCTACAAATAGTCTAGAATGGTGGGCAATATCTTTATAACATTTAATAGAAATAAACATAAAGTCCAGTATTTTGGTATAAAAATATCAACTGGGTGGGGCGCGGCTGCAGACAATAGCCTGTGGAAAGGACCACGGGTTTTAGTGCACTGTAAGGTCAATGTGAACCAAAGGTGCTATGTGGCTGCCTAACCATCATACTAGATGTTGTCATCTGGTTGTCCTCTGCCCCCAGCAGACCGCTTTTGGGCTAGTTAGTTCAGTTCTGTGTACCTAATTTAAAAAGGACATTGACAAACTAGTATATTCCAAAGAGGGCAATGAAGATGGTGAGGGAACTGTAGCTAAATGCCATAGGAAGATCAGTGAAGGATTTGGGGATATTTAATCTGAAGATTTAAGGGGACATGATTTTTGTCCACATGTATGTGATGGGCTGTTTTGTGGAAGAGACATTGTTAGATTTGTGCTGTATGAGCCTGGAGGGCAGAAGTAGGAGCTGTGGGTGGAAGTTCCAGGGAGAGAGATTGGAATTCCATATATAGCAAAACTTGTAATAATTAGAGCTGCCTACAATGGAAATGAGGGGATAGGAATAATGAGTTCATTCATTTACCAACCATTTATTTATCAATCACTAGATACAAGACTCTGAGGTAGGTGCTGAGCATTCACTGACAAAAAATGGTCTCTGCCTTCAAGAAGTTACATAAGTGATTAAATGCAGAGAGGAAG